TTACTGTAATTCCAGTGTTCCAATCATTTACACTTTGCACCGCAACAGTAAGGTGCAAATCTGAGCACTGCGCAACACACAATCTCACGACTTGGTGTTAATGCTCTCACCACATAAACAATCGCTCGTACCAAAGCGAAGCTTCCAGTCATCATGTGTTGACAGCCTTAGTCATGTTCAAGAAATAAATAAATGAATTGAAAAGAAAAGGGGATTATTTTGAGGAGTTGTCAGCTTGTGCAATCATTTAAACACATTAATCAGACTATTGTCATGCTCGCAGTATTTTGGTACATGTGTACACAGATCACATGGCTGTGCTAATCTGTTCAATTCAAGCAGTGAGATAGTTTATCTTTTTGAGCATTTGAATGAGTCTTGCAGTCTTTTAGCTGTGTGTGGGTGCACGTTCATGTCTATGTGTGGTTACATGTGTGTATGCGTGCCTGTGGGTGTGAGGACAAACTGAGGAGTGACAAAACATAACTGACTGTTGATCTGTTTGCAGTGTGTGTGTGTTTGTGTGTGCCTGCGTATGTGAATAGTGAAGGAAAGAAATCCATTAAGCTGTTTAACTCTGTGTGTGTGTGTGTGTGTGTGTGTGTGTGCGTCCGTGGTTGAACCCATTAACTGAATAAACCATCCAGTATGATTGCGGTGTCAAATGGGCTTGCTGAAGCATTTCTGCTTGGCCCAGCAGTCCTTGTCCTTCTTAAAGTCATCACACACTTGCACAAGACCCAAAACTCCCAGCCACACTTAATTATTGATTGCTTGAAAATGTCGCATCAATCCTCGCACATCTGTATAACTGCGGCTGTACAAAACACAAACAGATGCTGGCCAATGAGCAAATCATATGCCATATGCTGATTTCATTAGATATAATAGAAGTTGCTGCAATCGCTTTTGTGCATCTGGCAACTGTGCAGTGTGGCGAATAAGAAAGCTGCCATTCAAGTGGAAGGCCCGGGTTCAGTCTCCTGTGTCAGCAACAGTCCCTGACTAAGACATTAAGTCTGCAACATTGCAACAAGGTTGTTCCGTAAATGACACTTTTTGAGGTCATTCTGGGAGGAACATGAAAAAAAAAAATATCTGGAAAAACAGAAAAAAATGACCTGTACACAAATGCAGGAGATGTCATTAAAGCAGTAAATATTAAACTCTGTTCAGAACAATTAGAGAATCCTCTACTCAACAAATGTACCCTACTTGTTCAGGTTTAACAAGGCAGATGGTGGTGGGGTTTTTTTATCTCTCAATATAACAGCAACACCCCCCCCCCCATCCATCCCCACCCACCCACACCTGAGAAAAGAGTTTCCTCCACCTCATCCCACCCACTCACTTCTTGGTTCATGTGCAGCTGCCTTTTAGCAAAGCCTCAGGGCTGCTGAAGTTTCCCGGCTTGAATCCGATTAAGAACGGAGCACCTGTAAGGGGTGCACCAGGGAGGTTTCAGGCTGATTTCCACCACATTTGCCTTTTTCTTGACAATCATAGTGTTGGAGGGTGATGCTGATGGTTGGCAAAGATTATCTGGTTTGTGTGAAGCAGTACACAGATTCTGTCTCACCCAATCTGTTTGGATAAGATGGATCTGAGCTGCTTCAGTGATAACATAATTGATATTTATGACCCGACATCTGCAGTGGTCCTGATCAAGTCCAGTGGTGTGTGCGGGGGGGGGGGGTTACAGATTCATGCCAACAGTAGAGACTCAAAGCCAAGGTGAGGAAATGAGATGCATGTCTGGTAATGAGGACAAGGCTCAGTGCAGCTTAGTCATTATGAAATGACATAAAAGAACAACAAACTCATTTAAACAAAAGAAAATGACAGCAAATCACAACAAAGTGGAAAATGTCAAGGACTGGCTAATAATATAATGGATTACACGCTAGAGCTCCTTCTTTACTTTCTGCCGGTTATTAGATATTTGCACATTAATCCCTCATTCTGCTCTGTGTGACGGATTCGCACTTTTTTGAAGTGGGAAGTGAAACCTTCACAGTAGTTCAGTTAGGTATGTTTTACCTTAATTTGGCAATGTTTGCATCCGCACTTACTTAGAAGGTTATATATGTCACTTCGTTACTAAAAACAACTGTATGCACATTGTGAAAAGTGAGGCAAAATTAGCAATGGAAGCCACATAGTCACAAATATTGTAACTGGTGCCCTCTGTCTCCATGGCAATTTAATTATTATCAGTCACGACTTTTACTTTTATGTAATGTGCTTTGAGTCAGAATGTTTAGCTCCTAAGGACACTATTACACACCTCACTTTGCGTTTCAGCTCATGTTTTCATTAAACAGCAAAAAATAAATAAAAAATACGGTGCAAGTCTAAGCAAAGGTGACTTGTTAAAATGGGATGCAGTGTGTCTGACTGCAGATATTGGATTAGAAGCCCACATGTGCTTTGTGGATTTCACTGAAGGACACTGCCAGCACTGGACTCCTACTGATTTCCCTGAAGTTTCTCCCCCTAATAAACTATGATTTAGTTTGTCTCACTGCAAAGATGAGAGAGGAGACAAACAGCCATGGTATTATTTTGTTCAGACACATTTAGGAGACCTCCCAGCCGGTAGTTTTTTGGAGTTTAATAAGGTGGATGGAGGTGATGTTTTCTATGACTTCTATGACTTTTTTTTTTTTTCTCACAGTCAGTACACCCTTTTGAAATTGCTTACAGGAACCAGCCCAGCCCCGCTCTGCTCTCAAATCTTTCTGTTACCCTTCGGCAAGACATTACGGCTGTTAAAGTTTCCTGTTTAAATTCCTATTAAGATGTCAGTCCAGGGATCCACTCACACCAGACTTCACAACCACACAAGGTCACACACACACACACACACATATATACACACCCACAAAGACACATAGAGCTATCTGCCAAGAAATTCTTCCTGGTGGAGGTTCAATGCCATCTATGAGCTTGGCACTGAGACTGGGCCAGCCGATACCCTGCTGCCCACTGGCTCTCACACACACACACACACACACACACACACCCACACACACACACACACACACACACACCCACACACACACACACACACACACACACCCACACACACACACACACACACACACACCCACACACACACACACACACACACACACCCACACACACACACACACACACACACACCCACACACACACACACACACACACACACAAGCCTCCCATCAGCTCTGTTTCACTCGACTATGATGCTGTCTGTCTTCATGCAGAGGTGGAAATACATTTATGAGGCAGGGATGGGCAGAGGCAGAAAAACTTACAGTACATTGGGGAAAATGTGAATGAAGCAACGGGGAAATACGATTTAGATAAAATGTAGCAATGACATATGGATGTTTGACAATTCCACTAGTTTTACCGAACACCCCTAGAGAAAGCAGTGCGACAAGGAAGGGAGAAAGCAAAACCGAGGTAAGCACAGAAAAAGTATCGTTCCTGTTTACCAGGGTGATTGTTTTCCCCCTGAATTTCCCCCAGGAAAGTATACTAGCAAGGAGAAACTAGAGCTCCAGTATTTACCTTGGGAAAGACCGAGATTGTAGATGACAATGGGAAGAATCAGGAATGTGTTTAATCAGAGAATGAGGATTTCTGCACCTGTGGGGGCTGGATGTGTGTGAGTGTTTGTCAGATCACAGGCTTATGAATTCCAGCTCTTTGGGGAAATAAGGACGATGAGGTGGCTGTTGTGCCACAGGCAGCACCGCATGGAAATATATAATGATAGTGCATGTGTCACCGCTACAGCTTTCATGTAATAGCACACAACAGAATACAAGGGCGCAGAACACACAGATGGAATGATAAGGCGTTTTGGGAAAGGATTTTTCCCCATCGCTTGTTAGACTGGTACAGTGTATGGACAGAGTGGGGGGGGGTGGTTGTGGTGGCAGGTATGAGAGAGTGCCCCACAGTGCAATGTCACTGAGGGCAATGTTGTAAGATATGGTGTGATCCTTTCCAGGCAACAATTTAATTTGTCTGTCAGTGACACACACAAAAGACATTTTTTGTAACATGTTAATTAAGTGTTTTATTCATTTAAACACTGTGTCTGTTTATCGGTCAAGAAACACTTCCACAAAGCACCTCAGAAGAAAAACAACGGTGATGGCAATAAAAGAAAGGAGCACTGGAAATAATCCATATTAAATAGGTGATTTGTTAAAAAGCTTTTTGACATGTACTTAAAAATATTCCAATTAAAAGAAAACTAAAAATGTTTCTCTAGTTTAAGGTTCTGCATTCTTGTCTGGTCCATTAAAATGAGTTGGTTAAGGACCAACTCATCAACAACATTTTCTCTTTGACCTCTTGTTGCATCTCAAAACCTGATATCACTAAAAGTCAGTGATAAAATATGTTAGATGTTTATTTATTTGTTTGAAACTTTTGTCATTTGGTTCACCAACTGTTTGAAGTCACTATTACCGTCACTAACTAGATGGCAACTTGTGTTACAATCATCCGCGTCTATGATTGATTAAAAACTGATCTGCATCTTTGCTCATACTACTTTATTTTACAGTGGTGTCATTTCCTGATAATTTCCTAAGAAGAGTGAAGAAGTGTGAAGGACTGTGTAATTGGTACCTATTATACGGAATACGAATTGTCTGAAAGAACAGCTTCAATTCAAACCCAACAATTGTTCATTCATCAGTCATTTATTATCGGAAACTTTGTTCTTCATACACATGTTGAATTCTATGCCTGTCTGTCTGACCAATTTTACAGTTTGCAGGTTATGTTGGTAATTAATTTGAATTGATTAAATGATAGTGTGTTAATTGAACACTGCCTCTATTACCTCTTTATTAGTATTTAGTACTAAATCCTATTATTCTAAACCTCTTTATAGGCACATAAAACAAAGAGTTGCCGTTTGTTGTTATTGTTGTGTATCAACTTAGGTTTAAGTCTGTTCTGACCGTGACGTCTTTTTGTCTTTGCTTTCGCAGGATGATCCCATCCACCAGCAATGACTTCCTGGTCCGGGATCTCGCCGCCGGACGTAACTACGATCTTTGTGTCCTGGCCGTGTTTGATGATGTCATCACATCACTGACTGCAACACGTCCTTTGGGCTGTCTGTCGTTCACCACAGACACAGAGTTCAGCCAGTGTCAAGCACTGCACAGCCACTTCCTGGGTGGTACTATGATCATCATCATTGGAGGGATTATTGTTGCTTCTGTGCTGGTTTTTATCATCATCTTAATGATACGTTACAAGGTTTACATCCACCAAGGCGCAGGCAGCGGAAAAGGAGCCATTGCGGCCACTGCGCCAAGACCACAAAGCAATGGACAAGGAGGAGGCGGACAGGTCCAAGTCCTCCCTCGCTCTGCCTCAAAAATGACTGACAGTCAGGACGAGCAAGTGCTAGCACCGTCCAGGGCCATGTCGCCTAGCAACACCCTGAGAGACACTGTGGCACTGGTCGAGGAGGAGAGCAGCGGACGGAGCATACTGACAAGGACTGACTCCTTGGCCAATGAGGAGTTGCTCTCGCCCACCAAGGCCCGCTTCTCCTCCAGGGTCGCCATCGAGATGAAAAGCAGACCGCCATCTGTCGCCAAAGAGCCCTCCTCCCCGAAGGAACTGGCAGGTAGTAGACAGACAGATAGGGAGGAACAGACAGGCATAGAAGAGGCAAGCAGCACAGCAAGGGGGAAGCATTTCAGAGAGATGGAACGAAAGACAGAAAGAAGTTGACAGAGAAGGAAGAAGAGAGAACAGGGGCAAACAAAAGAATACAGTCAAACACAAAGAGATGGAGGATGAGAAATAGACAATGCGCAATTTAGGGTGTGAAATTGAGCGAGATAATAACGGAGCGTGGAACAGTGAGAAACTGAGTGAGTGTGAACGAGGGAATGAATAAGAGATGCCATCCTTGTGGACTGGTAAGATAGTAGGAGAGAGAGGGTGAGACGCATGTTGAACTTTCTGTCTGTAGAGTTGAAGTGGCATCTAAATTTGTAGTCAATGCTCTTCTTTCTCACTGCTGGCAAATCAGATTACAGCTTGCACTCTGTATGACAAGGGTTATCTTTGTATTTATTTATTTTTTCACACGAAACAAAAAGAAAAAAAAAAAACTTGAATTAGATTATTACATCCTCCAAGCTTGCTGATTTTTGTTTTCTGCACTTGCCAATTACCAGGCTTCATTTCTTAAAAAAATTAGGGAATTATGCAACTCTGAAGTTTCAAAGTTATTAGGAAATTTAAGAAACTACTGGGTTTACATTGTTTGCCCAAGTGTGTCGTGCATGATGATGTGACTTGCTCCTGGAAATGCAATATTTTTTTGCCTTTTTTCCAAACACCCATCACACCAAAGCTAACATTATTCAGATTAGCACTCCTTGTGTGTCCTCCATTAGAGTGCTACAAACTAGACTTTAAGCACCCTCAGAAAGCTTGTTGCCCATTAAGTATGACACACAGATACCAGAGCACTTAGGTGTGAAAAAGAAAAGTTACTTCAGTTCAAAGGAAAGGCTATTGAAGGTTGGTTGAAATTCGATGTCAGGGTTGGAAGAAATCCCCTTTATTAAAAGTTAAAATGTCCAGTGTCTTAAGGAAGTTGAACATTTTTTGGTACAATAAATGGTGTAAAAGACCCTGTAAAACCTCTGGAGAGATTTACAAAGCAATGTGCATTACACATCACCTTAAATGCTTTGATGAGAGTCCATAAAAAATACATAAATAATAAATAAGTTAACAACAATGTTGACAATGCTGTCAAGTTTCCAGGCACTCTTACGTTAAACCTTTACTACAGTATGCGTATGCATGTTTATACAGCTGGAGACACTCACAGTTCAGATTTTGCCCCCTAGGGTGCTCTCTATGTAAATCCAAGCAATTTGCTTTAGATTCAGTGGGAGTCTAATGGAACCCTTACAGGGGTAACAAAACAGAATCCCCTAGACACATATAATTCAGAGGGAATATACTATACATAATGTACAAGGCAACTGATGCAATCTCAACTATTACTAATGTATATATCTCGGTAGAAGAAACTGTAAAAAGATAAGAGTGTGGTGGTCGAGGTAGAAACCAGCACTGCCACTAAAATCAGTGTGTTGGGGGAAAGAGGCAAACCAGTAATGGCAGTAAGCAGTACAAGCAGTCAGCCAGGGGCAATAAAGTTTAGACGACGATATTTACGAAGTTCTCCAGAATGATTAGGAATGTCAAAATACACAGTCAAAAAATAAGAAGAAGAAATCCAGGGAAACATCACAGCAAAAGAAGACTAGATTACCTTGGACAATGCAGCCAAGATTCAGGATGAAAACCCAAGTCTGTGCCATTGAAAAAGACTGTTAATTTCCAGCTTCTAAATGATTAGTGCTAATTGAGCATTTCCATTTTCACTATCGTTCCAGCCTCTCTTGTCTGTTCATGGATCAACCTCTTGTTTCCAGTTTGAATAAAGTATTTTGAGTTTCTACAGTTGTGGGTACTGGCAGCAGATAGCTGATGGTAAACTGGTGGACAGTTGGCAAAAAACAACAAATGCAGGAATGTCATTGTGCATTTACAGTATCATTGCAGTGGTGCAAAATGCATTAAAGTAAAAGCAGAATGCTGCAATTAAAATATTTTAACATATTTCTTCCTTAACATTAAGATACAGATTGAAAATGCTATGTTATTCAGTCATTGCAAGCAAAGGCTGTCAGATAAAACTCACGTTTTATGTAATCAACCGTCAGTTCACTTGTTCCACACTTTTCAAGTGACTTGCACATGCTCACAAAGACTGCTCGAAATGCTCAATAGTGCTATAATAATAGGAATCCACAAGAGCATGTGGATTTTCTTTCCGGGTAGATTTTCCCTGTGCTAAGCCCACTCCAGTGCACTTCCCCTTTAACACTAATCCACTCAGGAAATGGGGGGTTTCATTAGAACGACTAAATGGAGACACCATTTCACACGAGTGGCTTAAACAGCTGAGTCGAAATACTTTATCAGCAGCCGATACGTCGTTCAATTGGCCCCTGTGAATGGGTTGAAATGAGGTGTCATTGAGCCTCACGTTGATAGCAGGGAGGAGAGGTCTGTGCAGAGCGCAGCAGTTTAGACGGTAAGTTCAGGGAACGTTTTCACCTTTATGAACACTGCTGGATTAGGAGTCGCTTTGACACTCAGAACACAATTAAATGTGCTGGACGTTGCTCATATCACAGTCTCTAATTATTGCATTAGTTGTAAAGTTGCAAAAATTTTTGATGGTGTCAAGTGCTGCACTAACTAACAGCTACCCTTTGGTATTAATTGGCTTAAGACATTGTACTAAAACAGGTTGTTTTCTAGTTGTTTTTCAAACCTCTGAAACTTTACGAGGGGTTTGGGCTGATGTAGTTCAGCAAGTGTTCTAAGAGGTTGATCGCCAAATTGAAGTTGCATGAGAGAGGGGCTGAGGAGTGCTCATTAAGGATGTTACGCAGAATTTTGCAAACTGACGAAGAACTTAAAATTTACTGTGCCGCAGCACTGAGGTGTCGCCATATGCACAAACTCAAACATTCCCCCTAAAGGCCTAATTAACAGCTGTAACCTCATCCCAGCCTTGACTGGCTGAAGTGCGTCAGTCAAAGGAGCTTCCAAAGAGCATCCCAGACCACAACAAGACACACAAACAAAGCAATTATTATGGCTTTTATTTTGACACTTGACCCAGGAAGACTGAAATGAACTCTGGCTTTTGTGATTGTTGGCGTCCTCACTTTGATTCCAGGATCACTGGCACTTTGAGGGCAACCTACAATGAGGGATAATAGCCATGTGTTTGTACTGAGTCTGCTGGGGTTTCTCAGGGTGTAGTTGTGTCTGTGATGTGTTTCACTGGTTGCTGCATTGCAGAGAAAGGCAACATTGATCTGATCAGAGAGAGAGAGAGAGAGAGAGAGAGAGAGAGAGAGAGAGCTGCAGTGAGTCACAGTGCCTGAGGAACAGAGCAACTGACAGATACAGAGAGAGACCCCATTAAAGGCCTACAGTTGTCAAAAATGTGACCCAACATGAAAACACAGGCACATTGTGGGGTGATAGTTTTCCTTTTGTTTGTTTGCTTTTCATAGACTGTTTTCACATTCATACATAATTTTGAGTTCATTTTTTTTTGCAGTTTAAATGTCATGGATGAATATTGTTTTTTATTTTTAATGATTTATTTATTTGGTATCTTTACCTCAGTTAATTAACAGATAAACATTTCTTCAAGTAATATGGAACTGATATGCTAATGTGAGGCTCATATGAAAGTTTCTGTAATCATTCCTACTGGTGCCCAAGTGATCAAGTCCATCATCGGACATGAGAAAAATCAACATTCTTTACTTTGCAGAAATGAATTTTAGTTCAAGTTCAACTGAAGTTAGTTTTCAGCTGTTTAAATTATACTAATGATGTGGATATTTTCTGAAGTGACAGTCTTTTTTAGTGCGAAATTCTCAAATTGGCTAACACAGACTGCTCAAACTTCAGAATTGCATATTTGAATTTATTTGCACAAAACGAGTGTTGTGGATTTTGCCCCCCATTCCTGATTATATAAAGTATTGCATTAAGACTGACTTGAAAAATCTGAACCTATCCCTTCATTACTAAACACATCACATAGTAGAAAACATTTTGGCACTCACGGTGTCACCTTGGAGCTCGAGGTTGAGCTTATGACACAAGGATGCTGCGTGTGGATTTAGCATCATTAACATGAATACTAATAGTGGAATGTTCCATCAGGATTAGCAGTAATTATGTTGCATGACACAAACATTTTATGATTATGTCAAGCAAAGTGCTATTAGTTCAAGAACAGCTAGCCAACCACTGAATGTGCAGTGTATTAATCATGTTACGGAGACCAAAATCTCTACACTGTCACATTTCGGAGGGAAAAAAAACACTTCCCCACAAGGTATACCATTAATTTTAAGGGGTTAAGACTTAGATTTAGGTTAATGGACGTACAATACAATGCAATGTCCTCACAAGTGACAAAAACAGTTGTTGTGTGTGTGTGCCTGTAAGCTCAGGGTCAGCTAGCAAATCCCCCGCAGGTCTGTGCATGCATTTTTGTGTTGTTGTGTACAAGGTTCAACTGCCTTGAGCCAGTGCAAACGTTCCCACAAGGTTAGGCGGGATAAGGAAAATAGTCGAGGATAACGAAAAGATGTGTGTGACTCTGTGCGAAGAGCAAGTGTGTGTTCTCCCCATGGCCCATCCATGACCCTGTAGCCTGTCTGTCCTCCGTTTATTTTAATCTATCATCACTCCTTTCGGTGTCATCCCATATGCCCAGCCTCATTCTTCACTGCCGTCTGTCTCTCTGAATTCAGCTCTTGGAATCTCCCTCCCTATTCCCGCCCGCCCGCCGTGTTTCTCAAGCTCTTTCTCACGTCTTTCGTCTTTACCCGCTTTCTGACTGTCCTGACATTTTTGCTTCCTCCTTACCCCCCCCCCCTTTTTTTCCCCTCTGCTGTTTAGCTGTATCTGTGTCAGTGTTTTTTCTCTGTTTCTTACTGTTTCTCTCCATGTCTCCCTCACTCTTTTGCTTTTTCTGGCTCTGTTTCCTTCTCTCTTTCTCCATTTCCCTGCTATCTCTCTCTCTGTCTTTCTCTTGGGACGCCTCCAGCAGCAGACGACAGGCGGCCTCGTAGTGTCGAATGGAGAGACTTTAAGATCTGAAGGTCTCTTGCCCTCACAAAGAGATTGCGCCAACACTACACACAAAGAGTAATGACTGGCACTAAAAACTTGGGCAGTCCCTGGACTTTGTTTTTTCTTACACTCTTCCTACAGTTTCTAATTTCACCTTGTGTCACCTGTCTGCCCGTCCTGCAGCCTCACCCTGTCTAGTATGTTGTCATCTAACCTTTTCCTTTGGAGTTTCTTGTTTTCTGGTCAGGTCAGTTCACACAATTAACAAAAAAAAATGTATTAGTTTCCTCTAGTTTTTTTTTTTCTTCTTTTTTTTGTGCTCAAGTGTTCAGATATTCATTCCTGTCTCCAAGACAGAGCATCATCTGAGGCACTCATAGCTTAAACAAATTACCAGAGCTGCAACAATTAGTTTAATTAATTTGTTGATTAATTGTTTAAATCATTTTTGAAGCAAAAATGGCAGCCATTCCCAAGTTTTAGGATCTCAAACGAAAAGATTTGCTGCTTTTCTTTCCCATATATAATAGCAAACTGGAAATCTTTTGTGTTCTAGACTGTTGGTCACACAAAACAATCAATGTGTCACTATTGCTGAAAAAAGGATCAGCTGATTAATTGATGATGAAAATAATTATTGCAGCCCTGACAAAAATTTCTCATTGAAATTACTGCCGGCTGAAGAAACAGTTCCTATGAAAACTGTTGAGGTGTTCTCAGGATTATCCAGAGTAATGAGGACTTTTTGGTCATGGCAGGGATTAAATCCACTGCCTGACACAACTATCTGCATGGTTTGATTCCACCAGAGGAAGTGACTTTTTCTGTAATGTGGGTGAACTGATCCTTTAATTGATTTCCTTTCTTTTCATTTCTCATTTGCAGTCAGTTTCATTGTAACTGAAACTTTACTTTCTTTTTTTCTCTCTTGTTTTCTGGTCACCTTTCTATCTCCATTGATTGCCTATTGATTTATATTTCTGCCTTCTTATTTCTATTATTCCCTTGTTTTCCTTTTTATTCTTTTTCACACATTGTCTGTCCTTTTATTGTTCATTTTTTTCTGATTTACCCTCACTTGTTTTCTCTAGTCATGTTATCCTTTCTTTCTTCATTCTCCTAATTGCATTGTTTTTCAATACACGCTCTCTCACCTCCCCTCTATTCGTCTCCTTTCTGCTGGCACATCCTTTTTCTCCAGTGCTCGGTTTGCTACTATTTCTATCCTCTATTATCTCTCCTTCCTTTCCCTGTCTGCTTTCAATTTACAACACCTTTGCCTGTATAATTATTATTTTTTTTATGTCCTATGTCCTTTCTATCCATCTCTTCACCACTCACACTGCAAACCACCTTCTCCTCTCTACACGACCCCCCTCACCCATCTCCTTCATCCATCTGCATGGTACAAAGAGTGATGGAGAAGAGGGGAGAGGAGAGGGGGATGATGGAGGAGAAGACAGTGGAGATGTGCAGTGGTTGTGATGGATGAATACAGACAGAGGCATTAAGAAGACTGTGCTTCATTCTTAAACTGACACAATGAGCACTGGCTGTACATAAATGTAGTTAAGAAATATTCCTTCTGACAAGTACAGTTAAGAAATGCCCTCCTGACAAACATACACATTACAAATAACAGCTGCGCCAATATACTGCCACACCAAGTACAGCTTCATCACTCTTTCAGCTATGGCACGTCTTTGCTTTTGCTCGTCAGCAGACCTCGCTCATGCAGTCATTTGTTGCATCTCCTGACTGCACAGCGGTCACGCTCTCAAACAGCTCTCACAAAGGAAAAACAAACACATTCTAAGATGTTAAAAAAGTTAAGAAATGGAACTGAAGTGAGGGAGATCTGAAAATCTTTTTGCCATGTAAAAAAGGAAGCCGTAAAAAACAATGCGCTCAGTTGCATTTGGATATGAAGACATTTCATTGCAGCTTTTAAGTGTAAAAATAAGAGAAAAAGAAAAAGAGAGACACTTGACTAAACAAGCCGTCTCTTCTTCATTTGTGTTGCTCCAAGACAAGTCTGATGTTATCACAAAGTTAGGAAAAAAACACGACATTTGAACTTTTACTTCCTACAGTTTCATCTTCTTTAATTTTGTTCCGTTTTCCCTCGGGACGTAATATCGTCACAAAAAATACAAAACTTTTCTCTGTGAATAAGCTTTTCTTAAACTTTTTTTTTTTTTTTTTTTTAAAGTCAAAGCAGAACTTATGAAAACAAATGAAACCGTCTCCTCAGAGAATTTTATAATCAGGCCTGTGGGTAGGATCAAGTCTAGTTCAGTGCAAGACACAAAACAACAGAAGTTAAAGCCTCTAAAAGGTTTATAATGTCTTCCCAACACGTTTAAAGCATTTCTATTCTTAACAGTGGTACTGGCACTGGAATAACAGGTGTACTCCAGATCTCACAGGTGCTACATTGTGTCTTTCAGACCTCTGCTACTCAGTATTTAGTTGCCAGAACCTTGGTTTTCTGTCCTTTTGTCAAGACCTGATGTTCTATTCCTGATACCCCATTTCATTTAACCCTCCTGTTCTAAATAGCCCCTTTTAGAACACAGATGATGCCCTTGTTGCCCTTGCCCTCAATGTCATTTCCCTAACCTTATACAGTATTTATACTGTTCCATTTTCAGACCTGCATGTTCTTGTTTTCCTGTTTTCTAGAGCCCTGATGATGATGTTGAGTGGCAAATATGGAGAATGAACGTCACCACCAGGGACAAGCTGGTGAAAACTCTGAAGAAAAAAAAAAAAAGGCCCTATAGCTCCTCTCCCTGTATCTCCTGTTTACTGTACCCATTACTTTGTTTCCATGAATATCATGGGGTTATAGAACTGTACTGTCTGGTTTTCTTTAAACTACTTATCCTGGTTCTCATGTCTGGATTAGACGACCAACTGTGTCAAGACCCGGTTTCTGCTTGGCTGCTGATTGGCCAGTTGCTGCAGGATCCAGCTGTCAGTGTGATCATCTTAATAGCTGTTAATGGAGGAGCACTAGTTAAATGCTGAATTTTCCACTTTGAAGCATCTGAATCAGTGTGGAAATGGATACAGTGGGCATAACAACATAAAGAGGCATATCTGGATGTCTCAACAACAAAAAAAGGACATAAAATATGTATCAACTTCTCCCCACCTGGAGCAGCATCAGTGTGTACGGACAGACAGTGAGTGGAAGGTAAAAACAGACCGAAATTGAGTGGCTAACCAGTGAAAAATTGATGCATAGATAATCACACTCAACCTGGATATACAATATGGTAGACTGCATAACCAGAAAGGGAATAAAAATCAAACAGAAGCGTGTCTGGATGGATCTGGTTTTGGATACGAGCAGATGTTAAACAATTATGGCTCCCTGTTTCTGCAACTCAACATAAGGGACTCTCCACACAGCTGGCTCTAAGTGGCTTCACTTTATTAATCCATGTGGAACAATGCAATTCTGCTGAACTGAGCTGAGCTGATCATAAGCTGGGCTGAACTGGAGCTGGATGATAACTTTGACTGGACCCTGATATCTCTCACATACAGTATATAAGGAAACCTGCGCTGAGCTGGTTTGACCTGGACAGAACTGAACCAACCTGGACCCAGTGGAGCCTGACCTGGAGTTGTACACCGGAAATGGATTAATACTGTGCAACTCTGTTTAGTCTGATGCAGACTGAACTGGACTAGACTAGACAGGCCTGTTGCCTATTGGTCTAGCCTGTGTGCTTTTCTGCTCTGGTCTATTACCTACTGCTTTCCACTGGATGGGGCCGGTGAGGACGTTGAGGACCTTTACCAGCCCCTCTCCCATCTCTCCAGGCCCACTTAAACAGGTGAGTAATCTGCTGATTAACCCATTAACCTAACCAAACAAGCAGCCAAATGAGAAGTTCTCTCACCCAAAGACCTGGGCTCATTAATTAGTGTGACATATGGCAACACACCGGCAGTCACCTTGGCCATAGACCAATTTTGGGTCCTGCCCCATAGTTTAAGACACACTTACACTCTGCAGTGTCTCCTCCTGCCGTGAGTGGTGTGAAGCCTAATGAGGGCACTTTAACGAGTGCCACCTAATTGCTGTCAGCTAGACAATTAGACAGACACCCTGGCTAAACGATCTGCTTCGTTACTACTCTCCACTGACAATATCACAACAGGCTACAGGAAATATACCCCCCCTTCTGTTTGTTACTGGCTCTTTTAGTGTCTGAGTCACTCCTTATCTCATTCTCCTCTCTCCTATTCTCTCCCTCTTTCCCTCTCTGTCCATCAGATGTCTTTTTTTTCCCCCAGCCTGCCCGAGGCTGTGATCAAATACTGGTGAATTTAATATGCTAGCAGAGGATATGGTTATGAGCTAACACCACAGCCTCAGGGATGGACTCTGTCCGTACAAGAGGAGGTCAGCGGTATCTCTTTAGTCATAGACAGAGACTGATGTCTGATGCTGCAGAATTTAACTCATCCAATCCCCAGGCTGGAGGGATTCTCACCATCAAAATGAAATTATACTTTTATTAGAAGGAATCAATAACACATTCTGTTAAGAAGTCAAATTTCAGAAGCCTAGCTCCCAATGGATGGAGAATTGCTGATATCTATTCCAAAAAAGCATATAGAAGTGCGTGTAAATGAAACTCCAGCAAAGTAGAGTACTGAATGGTCACACACCTCAGTTCCTCACATTAAATGAAACAGTTTCTCCCAGATATTGAACCATTTAAATGTTTGAATTGTCTTTTCTATGTTATTTCCCTGGTACCCATCCAACAGGTACAAATCAAATAACAGTTCTAGTGCTCTCTACTCAATATAAATGCACACATTGCTTCACAAACTCACTTAGTATGGATTCCTTCAAAGTTCATTTAAATGCAGTTACTGTATTCACAACAGCAAAATATGCTTGTAAGGCCTTGGTATAATTACCATCAATTAATTAACCTCATTTATAGATGTTTACCTTACTTGTCAACAGGCAGTCATTTATTGTGATGTGAGGTTCT